ACAACAATCATCATCATCATCGTAATCTTCATCATCACACACGTCCAGCTCAATGCACAGGCGTTGTATCGGTCGGCAAGATTTATAACAATGAGCACAGAACTGTCGGGAATTCATTCACACACCACACGTTCCAACAATAATGCATACACACACATACACACGCACAACACATACATACATACACACACGCACACACACACGCACACACATACATACATACACACACAATCATGCAAGTAAACAACTTTTAACGCCTATAATAAATTCATACATAAAAATAACACGAACAGGCATACACAAATACACACACATACATAGGCATACACCACACATACATAGGCATACACCACACATACACAGATTAATACTTAGAAGTGAGTGTTCACAGACACGAGCAAACTTATTCAATAAGTATGTTTTATAACAGCTTATTTGATAAAAATTTGAATAAACTTCAATAAAATTTCCTAGCCTGATTTTAAAAACACGGATATTTGTTTTTTTTTATGTCTTTGTATGTGTGTGGATGTGTGTCAGCGTGTGTGTAGTGGTGGTTTTACGCGTATGTCTGCATGTGTACACTGGACAGAGTGTAGGGTACAAATACATGGCATAAAGACAACGGGCTTTAATATCTTCAACTAGTGAATTTTATTTCATACAAAATGGTTGAAACCAACTGTACCATTCCAATTTTGCGCGCTATCATATGATGTGTTGTGCGGTTACCCAAATACAAATGCAACAAAACTCATGTGTTAGATTAACAAATAAATCCGCACACAGCTTATACATCACTTACACGGCAACCGCACTCAAACCACACATCGACCACACGCCAGCCACACACTAGTCACGCTACAACTAAACGCCAGCCACACATAGGCCGCATATAAGCCCCACTCCAGTCACAAACCAGCCACACGCCAGTCACACACCGATCCCACACCCCAACACGCCAGCCACACACCGATCCCACACCCCAACACGCCAGCCACACACCGATCCCACACCCCAACACGCCAGCCACACACCGATCCCACACCCCAACACGCCAGCCACACACCGATCCCACACCCCAACACGCCAGCCACACACCGATCCCACACCCCAACACGCCAGCCACACACCGATCCCACACCCCAACACGCCAGCCACACACCGATCCCACACCCCAACACGCCAGCCACACACCAACCCCACACAAATAACAATTCCATAATAGCGCCATCTTTCTGCCTATTTGTCTCTTTTATGCCGGAAAACAAATTTTGTCTGCCTCGTTGGTTATTTTGCGCTTTTATTGATCTTTTGTTTACCGGAAGTATAACAAAGACTTTAAATGCAGGTGGTTCTTATGTGGGGGATTGCCGACAATTAAAAAAATTTCATCGTCCTTTAAACTATTTTGCTTTTTCGTAATTGTTGTTTTATTTCAACATTTTGTTTTCTGGTTGTTTGCGAATCCTTCCATGCACTGCGAAAGAAGACAGATTTTAATTAGCTCTTTGTTTAATTAATTCTTTGTTTAACTATTTTTGTATAAATTTTCAAGTGCACAAAAGCGAGCAAGATAGGAGAGTCTGTTTGAATGCAAACACCAATAAGAGCAGTAGCAATAACAAGAACAACTACTACAACAACAACATTATAAATGACATCAACAACAACTACAACAAGATGCACGTAGGCAGCACACCAGCCTACATTTCGCATCACATCACCTCTGCAAACGACAACAACAACTTTACTAACATCAACAACATCAACAAAAACATCATCCTGAACAACAACAACAACAACATCGATAATAACATCAACATCAGAAGCCACAGCAACGGCAGCAGCAACTACAAAATCGCCTCAATCGCCACCTCAACATCCACTGCCGCCTCTGCCAACAATTGTAAGCAATCAATTTACACATTGGATGCTCTGCCAGGTCAGCGCATTCGAATATCGATAACCGATTTTACTCGCTGGATACCGACGGATCGGCCATCTCCGTTTAATGATGAATATGACGTGGCTTTTAACGATGGTGGTGATGACGAAAAGTTGATCGACGACCATGATGATGATGATGACGACAATCGAGTTGTCCGAAATAAGCTCTGCGAACATGGTGAGTAGTGCATTCATCGTGTCGTGATGATTATTGTGTCGTCATCATTCATTCATTCATTCATTCATTCATTCATTCATTCATTCATTCATTCATTCATTCAATCATTATTCATTCATTTATCTGTTCATCATTCATTCATTCATTCATTCATTCATTCATTCATTCATTTAATCAATCATTCGTTCGTTTGCTCATTCAATCATTTATTCAATCAATCAATCAATCAATCAATCATTCATTCATTCATTCATTCATTCGTTTATTTATTCATTCATTTTTTATTGTCATCTAAGTCATTATCTTTACGCTTTGATATCATCATCATTATCAAGTTTGTTGATGTGATTAATTATTATCAATACTGTTATTCCCTTGTTATCACAATCTACAACACTAACTACAACAACATCAACGTAAATTAAGACATCATCAACAACAACATCACCAACATCAACACCACCACCACCAACAACAACTACATCAACAACAACAGCATCAACAAAAACACCAACAACAACATCAACAACAACAGCATCAACAACAACAGTATCAACAACAACACCAACAACAACAACCACTACATCAACAACAGCATCAACAACAACAGTATCAACAACAATTCCAGCAACAACATCAATAACAACAACATCGACAACAACATCAACTACATCAAAAACAGACCACCTGAAGGCAGGCAGCACAATATACGGTTACATCATTGATTCAAAGACCAAAGACAACAAAACCATCTGTCGGACGAAAAACGACATGACGATGACGTCAAGCGGAAGCAGTGTTGAGCTGCTCTTGATGAATTACCACCATGACGAACGCTACGATGGCAGCTTTAAAATTCTCATCCAATATCGAGGTAGAGTGGAATGTTTGCTCTTTAATGATGATAACGATGATGATGACCTGTAAATTTTTTTTAATTTATACCCTTAACTTAATCTTTTAATGATAACGATGATGATGACAATATAGCATACGACAACTGAATGCTTATGTCAATATAGCAATGACGATGACGACGATGATAAGTGCATGTATACATGTATAGTAATAATAAAATTTTTATAGCACTCAAGGCATAACTCCACGTGATTGTGGTGACGATGATAACAAAGACAACGATCAATAATGATACGAACTGATACGTGATGTGATGAAATTCTCGAGAAAGAGAGAAAAAAAAAAACATTGCAATAAAACGACGCCGTCCACCTGTTTTGACGAATTTTCCGTTAAACGCAAATGTCATTGACAAATTTAAATTTGAAAAAACACTTCAAGAATAAGTTTTGCGTTGGAAAAATATGCTGGCCACTGCATGCATGTGGAAATGTGACTCGCCATGATCTTTATGGGCCAGTTTGATGCTTTTTTTATTTTCCAAAGACAATGCAGTTTCATGTAGGCCATGTTCTGTGCTAGGCCAACCAGCCAACTTCGACTTCGAAGCAGATTTTATCTTCTCCGAAGCGTTAAAGCATGTTTACAAAAGATTTTAAATTATTGATATAATTATTTTATTCAGTCTTTGTGAATTTTTTTTCGGTTGTGATATCCTGCGATGTAGAAACTTTATTAAAAAATAGACGGTGTTTATAAGAAATGATCGAATATAATTATACCAATATTTTCAATGCAATATTTATTATACAACCAATTAGAATAACTTTATTTGAATTAAAACAAAACAACAAATTAGCTATCGGATGCCCGGACCTGACTCCGCCATCTACGGCCTGGTTCAGACGAGTGAATGACACGTGTGAAGTCGGCTGCTACGACACTGACCAATCGTGGCATCTCATTTGCATCAACGACCAATGGCAAGGCGTTCTAGGAAACTGCTCAACCAATAAGGGTTAGAGTGTCTGTTATTTTAATTAAACATAAATAAATTTTGTAATTTTCAAATTGTTCATGTCGATAAAGATAAAACTGAAAATTAAAATTTTTTTAGGAGGAATGAGATTTCAAAGAATGTCAGATCAGAACTTTTCCAATGGTTTGTTTTATGAACTAATAACTATTGATGTCATTTCGTTACAACAGCCTTCATTGCTATCAAAAACATCATCATCATCATCTCATCATCATCATCATCGGCATTATAATCAACACCACTACCAGGGATCATGATACTGCTTGTGATTGGCTGCTCGCTGGTGATTGCCCTGGTCATTATATTAGTGGGCGTGGCTTACGTCAAGTCGATCAGGTTTTCTTTCCTTCTGATATATTTTTTCATTTATGAGATGATTAAAATAATTTTATTTGATCACAAAAAATATAATAACGAAGCAACATTTTTAAACAAGAAGTCTGACGGAGATGGACTACAAGCAGTGGAAGAAGGAGCAACAACTTCTGCAGCAGCAACAACAGCAGCAGCAACAACAACATACATTTCCGCAACAGTATCAACAGCATTTGATGATGACTAATGTTGACAAGGAGGCATATTTACTAAGTGACCCCTTTGTTGCCAACAAATTTCAACAGCAGCAGCAGCAACATTTGTATCCACCAATGGGCAAGCCACTGCCCAACGACAAAATCGACAACAGCGATTTGTTTGAAAACAGCGGTGGCGTGTTTTATGACGCCACAACTCAACAACAACCGCAACAACAACTTCAACAAAAATTTATCAACACACACAATAGCAACAATAATCCTCAACAAAATGACTTCAACTGCATCATTGTTGATCATCTGAACGAGTATTCGCAAATTCTCGATCCGCCCGCTGATCTGACCAGGAAAAGTAACTTTAGCAACAACATCAACAACAATATCACCATCAACAACAACATCAGCAACAAGAATGTGGCTCCTCCTCTGCCACCACCACTTCCAACGACACTGCCAGCATCCCTCGCGAACGACCCCTCTTCTCAAAACAGCAGCAACCCCAGCAGCGCCAACAACAAAATTAAGGACGACAATCGTTTCAACAAATTGTTGTTGACGTAACGAATTAAATAATTTAAAAATAAACTAAATTTCAATTCCATTTAATTTAATTTAATAATATTCACGCATTTGCATCTATTAACTAATCATAAATTGATGAATGAATCGCATTTGATCGATTGACGATCGGTTGATTGATTGATTGATCGGTTGATTGACAATCAAGATGATTAGATACGAACATTACATCATACAGTTATTGAATGACTGTTTGTTTGTTTGTTTGTGTAATTGATTGATTGATTGACTGGTTTCACGAAAGCGAATTTTTTTAGCGTATCATTACTTTTAACTGTTATAATCACTCACCAATATGAATATATATAAACTGAAGTATCGTGTTCAAAGATTTCGTGCTTGTATTTATTTTATTTTTCTGATGAATCGAAAACTAAACTTACACTCTAATATGTAATTAATTTATTGTATTGACATTAAAACATTAACAAATGATTACTTAACTATTATATTAATTAATTATTTATTTATTTGTAAGTTGATAAAAACGACAACCGTACTAGATGAAACAGACTTCGTCTTGCCGAAAAGTTTTTCAAAAAACACAAAATAGGGCTTATTTTGTAACCAAACCTGTATATATATATACAGGTATTGTACCAAATTATTGTACAAAATACCGCCTTCTACACACACACACACACACACACACACACACACACACACACACACACACACACACACACACACACACACACACACACACACACACACATATATATATATATATATATATATATATATATATATGTATATATATATATATATATTGACATACATAGTAATGGCGTCCAAACCTGTTGTCATTAATGAGTTGTTGTATTTTCTAACTAATAATATTGGTTTGTTAGACAATGAAGCATTTGTTTTCAACGTTTCTAAGTTTTATTCTCAAGAAGAAATTGATGGCAGTTTAAAATATTTGAAAAACGAGTTTGAACAGTTTAAAAACGAAATTGTTGATAAATTGAACTTACACGGAACAAACAAGATAGACAAACTGTTGGACTGTATTTCTGTTCTAAAGTGTTTTATATCTAATAATTTGTTGGAAAAATTAGCGGTTTTTGTAAGCAAGGATTTGAATAGGGTTCCAAGATTGGAAAATGTAATTAAAGTTAATTTTGAAAGTTTACGGTGCGAAATTAGCGAATTAATTGTGAAACAACAAGCGTACATATCCAATACACTTGAAATTTTCAAGGAACAATTATCACAGGTGACTGCATTTGATAAACAAATGCATCAGGTAAACGAGAAATTAAATTTAGTGGCGTCGAATTTTAATAAAACAGTTGCTGCCGTAGAAAATACTTCCAATGTTGATTCCATTTTATTTCCACCTTTAAACAACAATATTTCAACTACTGCACGTTTTGTTAACAAAAATAATAAATTGAATAATGATACAACAAGAACTCCAACAAATAATATAAAACCAACGTGGGGTGATAGAGTCGCTATGGATATACCTAGTGATGATAACCAAAGTGACGATAATTTTACTTTAGTCCAACGGAATAAAAATAAAAACAAACCTAGAACATTACCTCTTGTTGTGGCTAAATCAGCGGCTACACTGTCGGTTCAACGTAAACAAAAAATTGATCAGACGAAAAAAGTCATTGGTAGAAAAAACGACTGTTCATCGACCATAAGACCAATGAAAATGGAACCGCGTAAAAAGCTGGTCTACGTCGGCAAGTTGGATCAATGCACTTCTGAAGACGTCATCAATCATCTAAAGTCGATCAACGTTAACGCGATATCTGCTATACCCCTGACTAAATCCATTTTCAACAAAAAAAGTTCAACTAATAATGATAATAATAATAATTCTCAAACTAGTGACTCAAAAACGAGCGCAGCTTTCAGAATTTTGTTTCTTGAAAGTGATCTAGACAAGGTGCTGAACGAGGACAACTGGCCTAACGGTGTCGTCCTTCACGAATGGTGCTTTTTCAACAATCATGTTCAACAATCGGTTTCTAACGCTGTTGCACCATCATCTATTAATGGCTAACTCAGTTTTAACTTCGTTAGACCCGGATGTCAACATTTTCAACAACATCTTCGACGAATCTCTTCTTAAACTACCAGAGGAAGTTAATTCGTTTATTAGTATCCCTAATCCTTTTACAATAATGCACATAAATAGCAGAAGTCTTTTTAATAAGATGTCTGAACTCGCAACTCTCATAAATGTTTGTAATAATTGTTTTTCATTAATATGCGTTACTGAAACCTGGTTGAATGATACAAATGTTAATTTAATTAACTTGCCTGAATTTAATTTTGTGTCAAAAAATCGTGTTTCTTCTTTAGGAGGTGGTGTTGGTATATTTATATCTAGTGTTTTAAAATATATTGTTCGTGATGACCTTTTATTTCCTTCTACATCTTTTGAATTGTTAATTGTTGAACTACTTAATATTGATTCTTATAATTATTTAATTTACGTAATCTATCGCCCTCCGAACACTGATCTAACTTGTTTTATTAATGACTTATCATGTTTACTTTTAAAAATTCCTAAATCATGTAAATGTGTCTATATTTTAGGGGATTTTAATATCAATTTAATTAGTAAGGAAAACAATAATATTAATAATGAATTTGTATATTTGATGAACTCTTTTGGTTTTTATTCATTGATCACCGTTCCAACTCGTGTTACTACTACCACTTCTTCTTTGATTGATAACGTATTTACTAACAATTTAACTATTCATAAATCTGGTGTTCATCTGTTCTTCTTTATCAGACCACTTCCCTATTTTTACCTCATTTACAATTGCTAAACCTTTATTGTCATCTAATTCTTTTTCACAATCCTTAAATTTTTGCTCTAATAATATTTGTAAATTAAATTTATTTTTTAAAAATTTCGACTGGTGCCCTTTGTTTAATTGTTGTAATATTGATGAAGCTTTTTCTTTCTTTACCAACGTTTTTAAAAATGCTGTTACACGATGTTGTTATTCTATAAGACCTTCATTTAAAAGGAAAAAACAACCATGGATAACCAGTGGTTTAATTAAATCCTCAAAAACGAAAAATATTCTGTATAAAAAGTTCTTAAAATCAAAGACCACCACCGATCGTTTGATTTATATTAAATATAAAAATTTGTTTTGTAAGTTATGTAAGGTTTCTGAAAATTTGTACTATTATTATTTGTTTAATAGGGTAAAAAAAAGTGGTAAGAAAACATGGTCTATTTTAAAATCATGTATGGGTTTAAAAAATAAACCGTCATATTTTGTTCTTAATATTAATAACAAACTGGTTACGGATGATTTGAGTTTGTGTGATTGTTTTAATAATAAATTTTCTTCAAATGTTACTTCTGTATGTAATAACGATAGTACTTTATTTAGAAATTATAAACAGTATTGTAATGTTAATATGGCTAATTCATTTGTTCTATTTGATTGTTCTGTATTTGATATTCTCGATACAGTAAATAATTTTAATAATTCTAATTCTTGTAATGAAGATTTAATTTCAAACTTTCTTTTAAAATCTACTATAACAAATATTATTTCACCTCTCTGTTATTTAATTAATTTGTCATTTAAGAGTGGATATTTTCCTAAATGTCTGAAGATCTCAAAAGTTATGCCTTTGTTTAAATCTGGTGACCCTCACAATGTTAATAACTATAGACCCATCTCTATCATTTCTAGTCTGTCTAAACTCATTGAAAAAATTGTTTTTCTCCAGCTAACTAATTTTCTGAATTCTAATAATTTACTAATCTTTAATCAATATGGATTTCGTGCTAAGCATTCTACTGAATTTGCAATAGCCGATGTAGTTAACTTCGTTTCTAATGCCTTAGAGTCTAAAAAGTTTTCAGTTGGTGTCTTTCTTGACTTTTCAAAAGCCTTTGATTCACTAGACCATACTATTTTATTACATAAATTATCTATGTACGGTGTTAGAGGTGTTGCTTACAATTGGTTTGTTTCATACTTGAGTGAAAGGTATCAATATGTTCAGATTAATAACTCCAAATCTTCTCTTACACCGATCACTACTGGTGTGCCTCAAGGCTCTATCCTTGGACCTTTACTTTTTAATATTTTTATTAATGATTTTGTTAATTGTTCAACAATTTTAAAATTCATCCTTTTTGCTGATGATTCAACTTTATTGTTATCTAATTCAAATGTTAATCAATTGGTTTCAATTTTCAATGATGAGTGATAAACGTGTACAATTGGGTGCAAGCCAATAATTTAAGGATAAATATAGCTAAAACTAATTTTATTTTATTTGGTCCAAAAATTCGCACTAACATTGTTAATATTCAAATTATGTTAAATAATAGTTGCATTAATAGAGTTGAGTCTACAAAATTTTTAGGCATTATTATTTCTAGTAATTTGTCATGGTCTGGTCATATTGAATTTATTTCACAAAAAATAACAAAAAATTTAGGTATAATATATCGTCTAAGATCTAAGTTTCCAAAACATGTACTTATAACATTGTATAATTCAATTGTTTTACCATTTTTTACTTATTGTATTTCTATTTGGGGCTTTACAACAATATCTAATTTACAAATTTTAAATCTCTGTCAAAATTTTTTTATTCGTATTTTGTATGGTTTAACAAAATCTCATCATGTCAGTCATTTATTTATTTCATCTAAAATTTTAAAAGTTTTTCAATTACATATTCTTTATACTTTAACGTTTTTTTATAAACTGTACAAACTCAATTATTGTCCTTCATTACGCAATCAACTAAATCACTTGATGGATGATCGTTCTAGAATTTTAAGAAATACCAGAGACTTTTATTTTCCAAAACCTCGCACAAACTTTTTTATTAACTCAGTTTTTCATGTTTCATGTCGACTCTGGGATTTATTACCGAGTAACGTAAAAAATTCAAACACGCTTAGTCTATTTAAGAATTCAATTTATCAACTGATTTTGGCTGATCACTTTCATTCTTTTATAAATAGTTGAACATTTATTTTTTCTAATTTATATTTATTTATTATCATAATGTTTTTGTTATTCTGAATTTGCATTTTTTTTTCTGCTAGAAGTTGGCAATAACGCTATGTTTATCTCTTATCATAATATAATCTTTATTTTTCAGTTATTATCAACACATTTTTTTTTTTAAATTTGTCGAATTTTTGGTTTAAATGTTTTCTTTTTGGTGGCCCAACAAGTGAAAACTTCGGGTCTCCTAGTAATGTATTTTTTACTTTTACTGAATAAAAGTTTGTTTGAATATATATATGTATATATATATATATATATATATATATATATATATATATATATATATATATGTTGGTAATAGACCATAATTTTTACAATATTCTATTACGTCGGTTGGTCGCAGAAACAAAGTTCAATTTTACAACACCAAAGTTAATTTTTACAACGTCAAAGTTCATCTTGACAAAGTCAATATTTCCCTATATACAGCAAGGAGCACTGATGATGATTCATTCGGAATAACTAAACGTTCACAAAAAAAAAAAAAAAAAAAAATGACAACCTCACTTCCAACCCGGCGCTTAACCAACAACGAAAACAAAGAAGTAATAAAAACTAGCATCGTAAATAGTGACAAAGAAGAATATGATGCTATCGATGAAGAAAAGGAGACCAAAGAAGATGATCAGCCAATTAAGAAACCTGACACTTAATTCGCATCAAAGTTCAATTTTACAACACCAAAGTTAATTTTTACAACGTCAAAGTTCATCTTGGCAAAGTCAATATTTCCCTATGTATACAGCAAGGAGCACTGATGATGATTCATTCAGAATCGAAATATGGCCTTATTTGCAGCATGAATTCGAAAAATAAGTTTATTTTGAATTTTAATAAACTAAACGTTCACCAAAAAACTTTAGTGAGAAAAATCGAAAAAACGAACTACAAACATATTAACGCCAAACATTCGGTAGAATTTATAGAATATTGTAAAAATATATATATATATATATATATATATATATATATATATATATATATATATATCCATGCTAGATTATCAAGCTGAATGTACAACAAATATTTGAAGTATGTGACAGATGTTCGTACAAAACAGTCAAATAAATAATATAATAAGTCACAACAAATTAATTGTATTCAAAACAATTGTTATTAAAATCCATGATATATTCTTAAAGCAAAAACATCAAATTTAAATTTGGTTTAAAAACAAAACTTTTGAAAATAAAAATGCACCTCAGCACTTTGTCGTCTGTCACCGACGTTACGTACGTACATTCTTCTATTGTTTCCCACCTTCGCACTAATTCATCAATTCCGGTTGGCGATACTTTTCTTCGAACAACTTTTGAGTCGTTAAAGTTTGAAACAAACTTTCCTAATTTAATTTCATTTTAGAAATTAGTTGGAACATCGTACTTTCAAGTTTCGAAAAGTAAGTTTGTTTTGTTTAATTAACATCCGCATTCAACCTGTTTTTTTCAATTTCGTTCAGCAATTTTTCATTAAAAAGTGCAATTAATTTTAAATGTGGTTGATTGAATGAAATTCTTAAAAAATGCATGTCACACTTCAAATTTTTTTGTTTGTCTTGAGGCGGAATGATTCTAAGCATGTAAAGTAAAGGTAAACTTTTGGTCTGCCACACAAAATTTAATCTTACTTTTTTAGAATTATTTTAAGATTTTGTATAGTTCAGTGTTTTTGAGGTTAAATTTTTAATAGTCTTTATTCATAATATTCCAAAAACAGGCAAAATGTCGAAAACAAAGACATCAAAGGGCGTGAAGAAGAGGGCCCAGAGGGCAACATCTAATGTGTTTGCTATGTTTGATCAAGCCCAAATTCAGGAATTCAAAGAGGCCTTCAACATGATCGACCAGAACCACGATGGGTTCATTGATAAGGAGGACTTGCATGATATGTTGGCCTCCCTAGGTTAGTACAGTTTGTCTCTATTGCTCTGTTTCCTAGTTCACAATTTGAATGCTAATTTGATTATTTTGATGTATATCACCACCATAGGCAAGGTACCGACGGATAAGGATCTTGACAGCATGATGAGCGAGGCACCGGGTCCCATTAACTTCACAATGTTTTTGACGATGTTTGGGGAGAAGTTAAATGGTACAGATCCAGAGGATGTGATTAAAAATGCATTTGCTTGTTTTGATGAAGATAACAAAGGTGGCTATCATCATTCATCCAGATGTCATTTCTCTTTCTTTAACTTGTTGAAGCCTCTTTGATTACTATTCTTTTCATCTCATATTTGTTTTTTTTAGTCATTTGTATAAATAATTTTTTCGTGAATAGGTTACATAAATGAGGATCGACTGAGAGAATTGTTGATGACAATGGGAGACAGATTCAATGAAGAAGAGGTCTGTAGCTCTCGTTGATGTGCACACGTTGCTGTATTATATTATTGAATCTATTCATTCCTATTGTGTACATGTGCTAATGTATTGTATCTAAGATGTATGTTTGGTGTGCCATCATGTCATGGATGTATCATGCTTATCTTGGTGCAAATGATACTATTTTTGTGTGTCATTGTTTATTTGTATTTTTATGACTATCTGAATTCAATTGTTATATGTTTTGAAGATAAGATAGGCAGGTAGGTGGTCATCATAATCACCAAACTTTAACTGGGATGATCTTTATAGAAATGGCACTGAATGCGCTGTCATCATCATCTGTCAAGTTCCTCTTTCTGAATTTTTTTTATCTAGCACCAAATGCCCAGTTTAAAACTTATCTCATTCTAATTTGTTAGCCCTTCATACCTAGTGAGGACCAGCCCCTATTTGTATTCACTACACCCCTCTCTGCATAGTTTTCTCCACACCTCCATTATCCCTTCCTCTCCTCATAGCCTCCACATCTCTTCTATCTCCCTTCATTCTTAAATATACATCACCGATACAAGATCATTTCTTCTGCAAAATACTTTGCTTTAAAATGTAATTGTTGATTAATATTATTAATAATTATTCTTATATTTATTATTTATTATATAATGTGAATGTTATCAATCCCACCATTCATTCACATTGTTCAAGCAATACCCGCTTTTCTATGTACGTAACTCTTACATAAATTAATGTAAAACCTCTGTCCTGCTGGCTTGTTTTATGTCAAATATTATTATTTTTAAAATAATATGGATAACCATAATAATGATTGTGTTTTTCATCTTTTAATACTTGTGTAATAAATTACGAAATGAATGACCGGTAAACAGGTGGACGAAATGTACAGAGAGGCACCGATAAAGAATGGAAACTTCGACTACATGGAATTCACACGTATTCTCAAGCACGGGAAGAAGGATGACCAGTGATTTGATGGATGGATGGCCAATGAATCAATGGATGGACAGATGACCAATGAGTTTGATGGATAGATGGATGGCTAGTGAATAATTGGTGGATGGGTTAGGGTTAGGATTAGGGTTAGTTAATTGATGTATGAATTATTATAAGGATGGATAGATGACCAAGGAATGAGTTGATGGAATGATGGAGAGTGAATTCATGGATAGATTATGAGGAGTAGTGGGTTGATTGATTGATTAGTTGGTTGATTGTTTGATTGATGATGGTGATTGTAGATGGCTTGGTTATCCTATGTTTGTCTAATATTTTTACTTCTTGACATTGCAGTAATAATAAGTTACCTTTCACTTGTGTCTGTTCAATTCTTCTGTAACATTATTTCCTATTTCTATTTATTATTTTTTATGTTCCATTGTCATATTCTATAGATTATTATTGTGTATTATACATGTGTGCATGTATAATATTAAGCTTAGCCTGAGTATATTAGATAATAATTAATTAATTAATTAATTTATTATTGTTATTATTATTGATAGCATCAATTATTCATTCACACAAAGTACGTTATCAATTAATCATTTAACCTTCACATTTCTTTTGCAAATCATAATTGCTATAATTATTGTATAATTGTTATAATTATTAATCACTATAATTTGCGTTTTTTGTTTGAATAATTACTTTGACCCTTATTTAGACGTTACTATTATACTGTACTAGATTACATTAAGTTGTGTTGTACTAATTTATTCAAATTTTTTCATGAAATCTCATATGCTCGTTTGCATAATTTATGCAAATTATTCTGCATAAATTTTGCAAATTAGTTGAGCTAGAATGCTGAAAAACGCCACTGTTCAACTTCTTATCATTTTATGATTGATTTAGCCTGCCCAGATATATTTATCAATTAATTATTTTATGCTTTAATTTCTTTGAGGTATTGTTATTTTTATGTTGAATTTATTTATTTATGAGGTTTTTTATTTCCATTTGTTAATATATTTTTATTATTATTATTTTGTCACCATTGTTATTCAAATTGTTATTACAATTTTTGATTGGTTGATTTTGTTGCTGTTATTATTATTATTCAGTTTATTTGTTCACTGCCTACATCACACGTTTGCAGTTGCTTATTTTTATAGGCTTTTTAAACAGCAGTTAGTTTATTTTCCAGCACTCATCAACCGCCCATCGTCATCGTTTGTTCATCATTCTTTCATCATTCTTCCATCATTCTTCCATCCACGTTCATTCCTCACAGTACAACATTATTCCAAATTCATCTTCCCTGTGTCTGTCTTTTTCACATTGTCAAGTGAGTCAGATTTGAAAAATGCTGTTTTAGTTCGTTT